CAGAAAATCGGCAACTTAAGCCATTGTATCTCAAGGGATTTGTTAATGGCAAGCCGATGTCCAAGATGTTGGTTGATGGTGGGGCTGCTGTGAATCTAATGCCATATGCTACATTTACGAAATTGGGCAAGAATTCGGATGATCTCATTAAGACTAACATGGTTCTCAAAGATTTTGGTGGTAATCCTTCAGAGACCAAGGGAGTTTTAAATGTAGAACAAAACTGTTCCTACAACATTTTTTGTCATCGATGGGAAGGGCTCCTATAGTCTGTTGCTTGGAAGAGATTGGATTCATGCAAATTGTTGTATTCCCTCAACCATGCACCAGAGTTTGATCCAATGGCAAGGTGACAAGATAGAAGTTGTACCAGCCGACAGGTCAGTTAGCATTGCTAATGCCGATTTGTCTGTTTGGGAGATAGATAGTACCGATTGTTTGTCTGGAAAGGTTTGGAAAGGAGATTTTCTAAGGTATCCGATTGTGATATATAGCCAATTGGAGATGGAGAGCCCCAATTGTTGCTTTGAGGGCGTCGTGGAGGGTTCAAATTTCTATACCAAGGATACAGTAGATGATCTCGATGGCAAGCTCGGATAAGGTTTCATCTCGGCCGATGATTTGGAAGAAGTTGATATTGGTCCAGAAGATAGACCAAGGCCGACATATATAAGTAAGAATTTGTCATCTGAATTTAGAACCAAGTTGATAGAGCTATTAAAAGAATACAGAGATTGTTTTGCTTGGGAATATTTTGAGATGCCAGGACTTAGCCGATCGATTGTTGAACATTGGCTACCTATTAAACCAGGGTATCGGCCATATAAACAACCACCTAGGAGATGTAAAGCCGATATGTATGATGCTATAAAGGCCGAAATTACTCATTTGTATGATGCTGGTTTTATTCGGCCATGTCGATATGCTGAGTGAGTTTCTAATATAGTTCCAGTTATTAAGAAAAATGGTAAACTCATGGTGTGCATTGATTTTAGATATTTGAATAAAGCTACACCTAAGGATGAATACCCAATGCCGATTGCCGATCAATTGGTTGATGCTGCTTCAGGACATAAGATTATATGTTTTATGGATGGCAATGCAGGATATAATCAGATTTTTATGGCAGAAGAGGACATCCACAAGACTGCTTTCAGGTGTCCTGGTGAAATCGGCTTGTATGAGTGGGTTGTAATGACTTTTGGTTTGAAGAGTGCTGGAGCTACATATCAGAGGGCTATGAATTATATCTTTCATGACTTGATCGACTTGTTGGTTGAAATCTACATTGATGATGTGGTGGTTAAATCTAGGGAACTTGATGATCATATAGCCAATTTACGAAAAGTTTTTGAAAGAACAAGGAAAAATGGTCTAAAGATGAATCCCACAAAGTGTGCTTTCGGTGTATCGGCTGGACAATTTTTGGGCTTTCTTGTTCATGAGAGGGGAATTGAAGTTACACAAAGAAGTATTAATGCAATCAAGAACATTGAACCTCCAGAGGACAAGAACAAGTTACAGTCATGGGTCGGCAAGATAAATTTCATTAGGAGATTTATTTCTAATTTGTCTGGGAGGATGGAGCCCTTTACACCTTTACTCAGGTTAAAAGCTGATCAAGAATTTACTTGGGGGCAGAGCAACAGAAGGCCTTGGATAATATCAAAAATTAATTGAGTTCCCCTCCATTATTGATTCCTCCATAGAAAGGGGTGCCTTTCAAGTTATACTTGTCAGCCGATGAGAAGTCAATCGGCTCGGTTTTGATCCAGGAATTTGAAGGCAAAGAGAGAGCAATCTTTTATCTTAGTAGAAGGCTTCTAGATGCAGAGACAAGGTATTCACCACTGGAGAAGTTGTGCTTATGCCTATATTTTTCATGTACTAAGTTAAGGCATTATTTGTTATCCAACGAGTGCACTATTGTCTGCAAGGCCGATGTAGTCAAATATATGCTATCGGCTCCAGTATTAAAAGGGAGAGTTAGAAAGTGAATTTATGCTTTGACAGAGTTTGACCTCAGGTATGAGTCGCCCAAGGCAGTAAAGGGGCAGGCTATAGCCGATTTTATTGTTGAACATCGAGATGATTCAATCGGCTTGGTTGATATAGTGCGTTGGACATTATTCTTTGATGGATCTATTTGCACTCATGGTTGTGGTATCGGCTTGGTTATTATATAACCAAGGGGGGCATGTTTTGAGTTTGCTTACACGATTAAACCTTATGCTACCAATAATCAAGTTGAGTATGAGGCAGTGCTCAAGGGATTGCAACTTTTGAAGGAAGTTGAAGCCAATGCTATTGAAATCATGGAAGATTCTTTGCTAGTCATTAGTCAATTAGCTGGAGAATATGAGTGCAAGAGTGATACATTGATGATCTACAATGAGAAATGCCGAGAGTTGATGGGTGGTTTTCGGCTGGTGACATTGAAACATGTTTCTCGAGAACAAAATATTGAGGCTAATGATTTGGCTCAAGGAGCATCGGGTTATAAGCCGATGGTCAAGGATGTTGATATAGAGGTTGCCACAATTACAGTCGATGATTGGAGGTATGATGTTTATAATTACTTAAAAATTCCTTCTCAATCGGCTTCAAGGAAATTGAGGTACAAAGCTTTAAGATATGTTTTGCTGGAGGATGAATTATATTATCGGACGATTGATGGGGTGTTGCTCAAGTGTTTGAGTATTGATCAAGCAAAAGTTGTCATGGGAGAAATGCATGAGGGCATCTGTGGTACTCATCAATCGGCTCACAAGATGAAGTGGTTACTTCGGCGAGTTGGGTATTTTTGGCCGACAATGTTGGAGGATTGTTTTAGATATTACAAGGGTTGTCAAGATTGTTAGAAGTTTGGAACAATTCAAACAACACCAGCATCGGCTATGAATCCTATCATCAAGCCATGGCCCTTTCAGAGGTTGGGGAATTGATATGATCGGCTAGATTAATCCACCATCTAGCAAATGACATAAATATATATTGGTAGCAACCGATTATTTCACAAAGTGGGTTCAGGCAATTCCTTTGAAGAAAGTTGATTCTAGGGATGCAATTCAGTTTGTCAAAGTGCATATCATATATCGATTTGGCGTTCCTCAGACTATCACAACCAATCAAGGATCTATCTTTGTGTCAGATGAGTTTGTCCAATTTGCAGAAAGCATGGGAATTAAGTTGTTAAATTCTTCCCCATATTATGCGCAAGCTAATGGGCAAGCAGAAGCATCTAATAAAAGTTTGATTAAGTTGATAAAAAGAAAGATTGCCGATTATCCAAAGCAATGGCATAACCGATTGGCTGAGGCATTATGGGCTTATCAGATGGCTTGTCATGGTTCGATTCAAGTTCCTCCTTATAAGCTGGTTTATGGACATGCCATGGGAAATTAAAATCGGCTCAAGAAGGATTGAATTACAAGATGAGCTGTCAGCCGATGATTATCATAATCTTATGGTGGATGAGTCGGAAGAATTAGTACAATCAAGATTGCGTGCTTTGGAAAAGGTAACAAGAGATAAGGAAAGGATTGCTCATCATTATAACAAGAAGGTTGTGCCAAAATCTTTTTTAGAAGGCGAGTTAGTTTGGAAGTTGATCTTGCCGATTAGGACCCGTGACAACAAATTCAGCAAGTGGTTGCCGAATTGGGAAGGACCGTTTCAAATCTATAAGTCTGTTTGTAAAGGAGCTTACATGTTGCAAGGACTTGATGGAGAAGTTTTCAGTCGAGCTCTCAATGGGAAGTATTTGAAGAAATATTATCCAAGTGTTTGGATCAATTCATGATTCGGTTAAGTTGTGCCGATGCATGACAGCCGATGTTGTGACATCGCCTTTAGATGGCCGATATGATTAATATCGCCCTTAGACTTTTTATTTTTATCATAATCTGTTATGTGTAGCCGATGTGTGATAGCCAATATGTGTTGTATCGCTCTAAGTTTTTTTTTTCTTATCATAATCGGTTGGATTGTGCCGATGTGTGATGGCCGATATTTGTTATATCGCCCTTAGTTAAAATTTTTAATTTTCTCAATGTTTGTTCAACATTGTAAAATTAAGGGGGCATATGCATATAAAAAATATGGACTTCAAATCAAAAATATGGACTTTAGAAGCAAAAAATTATATTAATCGGCACAAGTTCATAGGAGAAGATATATTACATAGGCATCACCAGAAGTTCAAAGCCGATTACAAAAGTGTTTCAGTCCTATTACAAGCCGATTACTCAGCAATATATCTCTGGATAGCCGATATAGCCCTTTGCCTAATCTGCATCACTTCTTCAATTGCTTGGGCGTCTTGAGCATCGGTTTCAGGGATCACCTTCAAGGACTTAGTCATTTCAGCTAGATGCTTAATGGAAGCTTTCAGCTTGGACTTCTGTTCTTCAACAACCTTGGGCAAATCGGCTAGCTTCTGCTTCTCTAAGGCAAGCTCAGCATTACATTCCTCAAGTTGAGCCAAGAGCTCAATCCTTCGAGATTCCAGCTGATCTATGTTGGATTGAATTGGACCAGGGCTGTCACGTCCCGTTTTTCGTGTCTTCTAATTTTCTTAATTTTGAAATTTAGCATTTGTGTTTATTCGCCTAAAATAGCTTAATGAAAATTTCATAAATGAAAAAGGGTTTAATTTGACTAAATAAATTAATAACGCCGCCATTTATTTTATCGTTTGTTAATTGGAGTTATTTGGTTATCTTTGGGTCTTGGAAGTGGAGCTCAATTCCTGGAATTTTCCAAAGTGTCCAATCCAGAAAAAAAAATTCCAAACATCCCAAAATCCTCCAATGTTTGAATTTTCCAGAAAATTCCCATCTTTATTTTTTTTCCTTCCTTTCTATTTTTTCTTTTCCTTTTTCCTCCCTTCCTTTCTTCTTCTCCTGTGGTTCTGTTTCTGTCGATCCAATCAATTCCTCTCGGTGTGCATGGGCAGGAGCCTAGAAAAACCCCAATCAGATGAGCAGGCCAAACCCAGCCCAACCCAAGCCGCCATCCTCCCCACTGCCCACGCACGGCCACGCCGTTTCTGCTTCGTCTTCAATCTGACGTTTTTTTCTCCATGAAAGCAGCAACGTATCCTCCAATTCCCATCACAGATCTATCATCTCCCTCATCAATCTTACTGTTTAATGCCAAAAAATGAAACTACCTTGATGATCTGAATCCGTTTCCCAAATTTCCGGTGACCTCTCATCTCCCAGCTAGTTTACCTTCCTCCTCCACAGATACCACTGAGGATGATTAGCCGTTTCTTTTCTTCTTCTTCCAATCTACTCACTAATTCCTTCCTCTCCTAAATCATTTTTTTCCATCAATGACAAAAATTGAATCACCATGATGAGCTAGATCCATTTTTCCAGCACATATGGCTCCTCCACTTTTTACCGTCCACCTCCCGTGTCCTGTATAATTGCCAGTGCCATGCCCTCTTCTATTTCTTTTACATGGATAGGTCAGCGCCCTGCCAAACCGCTTCACTGCCATCGCCTTGGGAGATTTTGCAGGCTCTGTCATCGCAGCCCGGTTGAGTTCAGCCACGGTAGCGCTTGCAAACAGCCACACCATGTGCTATCCATGTGAAAGCATGATCGAGGACATGACCACCTCGTCGGGAGCTTCCTCAACCGCCGATGCGCCGCTGCTATGCTCCTCTGCGCTGTCGTCTTCACCTCATCATTGTCGTTCCCATTCCATCACACCACCATCTCTAGAGTTTGTGCCGTCATCATACGAGCATCATGCTGCCACTTCTCTGTCATGGTAAGCACTTGCACCGCATCCAAGTCCATTGGTCGTTTCCTCCTTCCTATTCATCATCCGGTGTTTGCACAGGTTGAGAGGCCATCACTCTGCTGCTCTTCTGTTCTTCCATGTCGGGTTGCTGTCGTGTGCACATAAAGACGCCACTGCCTCGTCGTCTAGCACATATTGTTGCTGCCATGTCTCCACTATCGTGGTTGGTAAGGACCTGCACTGCCTCCACTTTTTATAATCATTTCCTCCTTTATTTATCAAAAACTAAATCACTATCACCGTCGATCGGTTAGCTCTGTTTTCACCATCTCTCCATCTTATGGCTGCTCGTACTTTTCCCCTTTTCTCCTCTATATATATTTAACAACACCTCTGCAATCCTTTTCTTTTGCTCGCGCATGCTGAGATGCTCTCTGCTCTGGCTTCCCTATACAGCAGCGCTGCCCCTCCAATTTTTATTTTATTTTATTCGTGCACACTGGGACTCTTCATCTTGCTGTTGTGATGCTATAGATGGCCAAAAGGCCCGAGGCCCGACGGCCCGGCCCACGGCACGGTGTTTTGGCCCGGCCCAAGCACGGCACGGCCCGTCAGGGGTTGGGCCCGTGCTGGCCCGGCCCAACCACCGGGCCGTGCCTGGGCCCCTCCACCGGCACGTTGGGCTGGCCCAGCACGACCAGGCTAGCACGGCATGATGGGCCGCAGTCCAGGCCCGACACATAAACAATAGGGAGTAAAAATAGACATATTATATACCACGGTCAAAAGAATAGGGACGTCAAATAGACTTATTTTAGCTATATATATATGTCAGCCCAAAGAGGAGGGACGGAAATAGACTTATTTTCACTATATATATGTCACAGCCCAAAGAGGAGGGACGGAAAATAGACTTATTTAAAAAAAGGCACGATGGACCATCCGTGCCTTCGGGCCGGCCCGGCACAGCCCGGCATGAAGTGCCGATCGGGCCGTGCCGGCCCGATGGCTGGTGGGCCGTGCCTGGCTGTGCATGGGCCGGGCCGTGCCGGGCGGGCCTTTTGGTCATCTATATGTGATGCTATACCATCACATCCACCAATGCCGCCTCGGGTGAATGAACATCAGCGCCGCTGCTTTCTTCCATGCCATCGCCCACTCGTAGTTGTGCCATCGTTGTCAGTCAGAACACTCCATAATGCAACACCGTTGCTTCACCAACGCCAAGACGCCGTTGTGCTGCTACTCCTCTTCCTTGCTTCGCTGCCTCCTAAAGTCGGGAAAAACACATGTTGCCGCGAGGTCGACTTTGGCCAAATCCTCCCTGTCCTGTTGGCAGCGCCTATTTCTAGGGGCTCATGCCGCTGCTGCTATCTTCTCCTTATGGACGGTTGCCAAAGCGTTGTTGCTGTCCCCTTTTCCATGGTCATCGCGGTTCCATCACAATGCTGCATCATCACCGTCCTCCGCCATGAGCCCGGTGTCTCCTCTTGTTCTCGGCGCCACCAAACTACTAGTGGATGGCCCGTGGTCGCTGTGCCTGCAGTGTGCCCATAACTATAACTTCCCTCTGAGAATGACTCATGGACCCTACTTGTTAATCCACAAAATTATACATCGTTGGAATTCCGAATATTTCAGAAAAATGTTCTTGAAAATCCGTTCAGCTTTTCCACCAAATTTCTATCTTCCGATACCACTATCGATATGGAACACAACTCTGTTTCTTCCCACGCCGACCAAGCGGTTGGCTGCATCATCATTGTTCCAAACAAGCGAAGGACTGGAGTTACCACTTCTGTCATCCTCGCCAACACCACATCGTCAACTACCCGTCGTTGTTGCAACCGTTTCTACTATCTTGTTCCCTGTACTGCCTCTATAATCTTCCTCCGCCACGCGCCTTGTCTCTCTTCTTATTCCTACTAGTGCTGGCCCTTTTTCTTTTTATTCACGTATGCTGAGACGCTGATGCCCAAGCACTATCCTCCCTCGCTTCGCTGCCACTGTCCCTAGGAGTTTGAGCCATTGTTGCCACCTCTCTTTCCTTCTCGTGCACAGCCATGTCACCATCGTGGTTGGTGAGCAGCTGCACCGCTGTGACAAAATCTGTTGTTTCCTCCCCCCGCGCCAACCTACCACGAGCGACCATCGAGCATCCCGGTGAGCTCCACCTCGATGTCCCTGACTCCAAACCGACTCCTGAAGCCCCTCTAGCTATCCGTCCACCATCCAGTGCTTTATCATCACCACGCCTATTATGTGCTCGCTCCACGGCACCATGTTGCACACCTCATGGTTAGACCAAACCTCCTAATACCCAAATCAATCCAAGTCATCCCTCCCTACAAATAAATCTCGGCCATCTACGTAATCAGTCCACCACTCTACTCCCTATAACAAATTCTCCGTTGATCATCCCACTGATGGATGTGTTGGAATTAATGAATGGGCCTTAGCCCACTCGAAGATTAATTCTTTGGAAAATCACAAAAGCCCACCTCATGGGATGGCATGCATGTGGAGTTTAGTACCACCTTGCTTATTCTAGGAGAGGGGGACCTCCTTAAAAGGGAGGATGCCCTCCTAGCCACTTGAAGCATGTGTGGTGGAGAGAAGAGGGGAAACACACGCGCGCGCTCGCTCGCCTCGCCTGGCCTGGCAGGGCAGGCGGCGCGCGTGCACGACGTACGCGTCGAATGGTCCGAAAAATTGGCTCCTCACCCTTGCGCAGATGCAGCCTCCTTTTGCAGTTTTGTTTTGCTGCAAATTCGGATTCGTTTTGTTTTGGAAACGTTCCGAAAAATCCGGTGCGTGCAAACGGCGTGGAGTCCGGATAAGTTACGCGCGACTTATCCGGTTCGGTTACGCGCAGTAGAGATCGTGCGGGCGCCCTGATCAAGCGACCCTTCTCTATATAAACCGACCCGCCGTCTTCACGCAATATATGCGAAAATCAATCTAGGGTTTGCCTCCTACTCTGTACTGCGCCGTCGCTCGTAGACTACTCCATCCCGCTCGCCGGCGTGCACCAGCGATCGGGAGAGCAGGTCTCCGGAACCTCTGCCTTTGACGTCCTGCACCGGGAGAAGGCGGCAATAAGGTTTTTGGGAAGCGCTTCGCGCGACTGCTCCCTGTTCGTTCGCGACGGCTCGCCTTCCTCTTTGCTCGCGTGTTTCGTGCCTTCGTAGACACCTGCGAAAAGTTTCGACCAAGCAGCCGGTCTTTTCGTCACCTCGGTACGTGTTAATATGTTGCGCATATTTGATCTGTTCATGTTATTCTGCGTAGTTTACATGTGTAGATCTAATGATGCGTTCATGCTAGTTTTCATCTGTAATGTCATGATTTATTTATGGAATAAATTAAATCCTTATATGCCCATAATCTCAACAATCCAAAAACCTTATTATAGGCACTGTGATTTTACTATGGCTGGTTTTGCCGATGCACTGAGGCCGGATAAATTCACCGGTGTGCATTTTAAGAGATGGCAGATCAGGGTCACTCTGTGGCTGACAGCTATGAAATGCTTCTGGGTGAGTACTGGCAAACCTGAAGGAGTTCTTACTGCTGAACAGCAGAAGCAATTCGAGGAAGCCACTACTCTCTTTGTGGGATGCATTCTTAGCGTTCTTGGCGATCGTCTGGTCGAGGTGTATATGCATATGACCGACGCTAAGGAGTTGTGGGATGCACTGAATACTAAATTCGGTGCTACTGATGCTAGCAATGATCTGTATATCATGGAGCAGTTTCATGACTACAAAATGGCTGACAACCGTTCTGTAGTCGAACAGGCTCATGAGATACAAACCATGGCTAAGGAACTCGAACTCCTTAAGTGTGTCTTACCCGACAAATTTGTGGCCGGGTGCATTATTGCAAAACTTCCTCCATCTTGGAGGAGTTTCGGTACTGCACTCAAACACAAGAGACAGGAATACTCCGTTGAGGGGTTGATTGCGTCTCTTGATGTTGAGGAGAAAGCTCGGGAAAAAGATGCCGCGTCTAAGGGCGATGGTGGGCAGTCCAGTGCCAATGTTGTGCACAAGGCCCAGAACAAGAGCAAGGGGAAATACAAAGCTCAGCAGACCACCAACTTCAAGAAGCAGAAGAAGAACAACAACAATCCTAATCAGGATGAGAGGACTTGCTTTGTGTGTGGCCAAGTTGGTCATCTGGCTAGGAAGTGTCCACAACGCAAGGGGATGAAGGCACCTGCAGGGCAGACTTCTAAGTCTGCTAATGTGACCATTGGCAACACTGGAGATGGAAGCGGGTATGGTAATTTACCTACTGTTTTTTCAGTTAATCAATCTACTAATTGGTGGGTTGATACTGGGGCCAATGTACATGTTTGTGCTGACATCTCATTGTTTTCTTCTTATCAGGTCGCACGGGGTTCCACCGTCCTAATGGGGAATGGGTCACATGCTTCTGTTCATGGTGTTGGCACGGTAGATCTGAAGTTTACTTCGGGAAAGATCGTGCAGCTGAAGAACGTGCAGCATGTCCCTTCTATCGACAGGAATCTTGTTAGTGGCTCCCGTCTGACTAGAGACGGATTTAAGTTGGTTTTTGAGTCTAATAAAGTAGTCGTGTCTAAACATGGATATTTTATTGGTAAAGGTTATGAGTGCGGAGGCCTGTTCCGCTTTTCCCTTTCTGATTTCTGCAATAAGTCTGTGAACCATATTTGTGGCAGTGTGGATGATGAGGCTAATGTTTGGCATTCACGTTTATGTCATATTAATTTTGGCTTGATGTCTCGGCTTTCCAGCATGTGTTTAATTCCTAAGTTTTCCATTGTCAAAGGTTCTAAGTGCCATAGTTGTGTGCAATCGAAGCAACCTCGCAAGCCTCACAAGGCTGCCGAGGAGAGAAACTTGGCACCACTAGAACTCCTACATTCAGATCTTTGTGAAATGAATGGGGTGTTGACGAAGGGTGGAAAACGATATTTCATGACATTGATTGATGATGCTACTAGATTTTGCTATGTGTACTTGTTGAAAACGAAAGACGAGGCTCTAGACTATTTTAAAATTTATAAGGCAGAAGTTGAAAATCAACTTGACAGAAAGATAAAAAGGCTTAGGTCTGATCGTGGTGGAGAGTTTTTCTCGAACGAGTTTGACTTATTCTGTGAGGAACATGGCATCATACATGAGAGGACGCCTCCCTATTCTCCCGAGTCTAATGGGATTGCTGAAAGGAAGAACCGCACACTGACTGACTTGGTGAATGCCATGTTGGACACCGCGGGACTGCCTAAGGCATGGTGGAGGGAGGCATTGTTGACCTCAAATCATGTGTTAAACAGAGTTCCTAACAGAAATAAGGACAAAACACCATATGAGATATGGATTGGTAGAAAACCATCACTTTCTTATTTGCGCACATGGGGGTGCTTGGCGAAAGTCAATGTACCAATAACGAAGAAGCGCAAACTTGGACCTAAGACTGTGGACTGTGTTTTTCTGGGATATGCTCATCATAGCATTGCCTATAGATTTTTAATAGTTAAATCCGAGGTACCGGACATGCATGTTGGTACAATTATGGAGTCTCGTGATGCTACCTTCTTTGAGAGCTTTTTTCCAATGAAGGATACACATAGTGGTTCGAACCAACCCTCTGAAATAATTCCCAGTTCAATCACACCACCAGAACAAACTGAACATACACATGAACTTGTCTCTGAGGAGGATGTCAGTGAAGCTCCTCGAAGGAGTAAGAGACAAAGGACGGCTAAGTCTTTTGGTGATGATTTCACTGTGTACCTCGTGGATGACACTCCTAAGTCAATTTCAGAAGCATATGCATCTCCTGATGCAGACTACTGGAAGGAGGCTGTCCGTAGTGAAATGGATTCCATTATCGCTAACGGGACTTGGGAGGTGACAGAGCGACCCTATGGGTGTAAACCTGTGGGGTGCAAGTGGGTGTTCAAGAAGAAGCTTAGGCCTGACGGTACTATTGAAAAGTACAAGGCTCGGCTTGTTGCTAAGGGCTATACTCAGAAAGAAGGCGAAGATTTCTTTGACACTTACTCACCTGTTGCTAGATTGACCACAATTCGTGTGCTACTTTCCCTAGCAGCCTCACATGGTCTTCTCGTTCATCAAATGGACGTTAAGACAGCTTTTCTTAATGGAGAGCTGGATGAGGAGATCTATATGGATCAACCTGATGGGTTTGTAGTTGAAGGTCAAGAAGGCAAAGTGTGCAAATTGTTGAAGTCTTTGTATGGTCTGAAACAAGCTCCTAAGCAATGGCATGAGAAATTTGACAAAACATTGACATCTGCAGGCTTTGCAGTCAATGAGGCAGATAAATGTGTGTACTATCGCTATGGTGGGGGTGAGGGAGTTATTTTGTGCTTGTATGTTGACGACATACTGATATTTGGGACAAACCTTGAGGTGATAAATGAGGTTAAATCATTCTTGTCTCAAAATTTTGATATGAAAGATTTGGGAGTAGCTGATGTTATCTTAAACATTAAGCTAATTAGAGGTGAGAATGGGATTACTCTCTTGCAGTCCCATTATGTGGAGAAGATCTTGAATCGCTTTGGCTACATTGATAGTAAGCCTTCTCCAACACCTTATGATCCTAGCTTGTTGCTTCGCAAGAACAAGAGAATTGCTAGGAATCAACTGGAATACTCCCAAATCATTGGCTCGTTGATGTACCTGGCTAGTGCAACTAGGCCTGATATCTCCTTTGCTGTGAGCAAGTTGAGCCGATTTACTTCTAATCCGGGAGATGATCACTGGCGTGCGCTTGAGCGAGTAATGCGCTATCTGAAAGGTACTGTGGAATTGGGACTTCACTATACTGGGTATCCTGCGGTACTGGAGGGTTATAGTGATTCTAACTGGATCTCTGATGTGGATGAGATCAAAGCCACTAGTGGATATGTTTTCACACTGGGTGGTGGTGCTGTTTCATGGAGGTCTTGCAAACAGACAATTTTGACGAGGTCAACCATGGAAGCAGAACTAACGGCACTGGATACTGCTACTGTTGAGGCAGAATGGCTGCGTGATCTATTAATGGATCTGCCTGTTGTTGAAAAACCGGTGCCGGCTATCCTTATGAACTGTGACAATCAAACGGTAATTGTCAAAGTGAATAGTTCTAAGGATAATATGAAATCGTCTAGACATGTGAAAAGACGATTGAAGTCTGTCAGGAAATTAAGAAACTCCGGAGTTATAACGTTGGATTACATCCAAACAGCGAGAAACCTGGCAGATCCCTTCACGAAGGGACTATCACGAAATGTGATAGACAATGCATCGAAGGAGATGGGTTTGAGACCCATGTGAGTTATACTATGGTGGTAACCCAGTCTATGTGATCGGAGATCCCGTGAATTAGATCCTGGGAAGAACAAACCATTAATAAACTAGAGGAGAGTACAAATATATATACCCTATCCAAGTGAAGATGCATATACTCTTGTGAGCTGCAAGGCAGGTTGGCTATGCCTTAATGAGTTCTGTTGGCTTTAATTAGCAAAGATGTTGTCCTGCAGAGCATTCTTGAAGGAACTCACCTTTGTGAGCTTGACTGTTGGTCGCAGTCTATGAAGATTTTGGGTGAATCTTCTAGGAAGCTTACTAAAGACCTAGGAGTATGACTTATACGCTCCACCCGAGGGGTAGTCTACAGACGGTCTAGTACCAGATAAGACTTTGAGTGAAACTTGCTTGCACAAGACTTGCAATTCAAGGCGTAGTCCATTGTTCAAGTTGTGAGTAAGTGTAGCTTGGAGTTCTAGGTGGATGTTCAACCTTAATTGGTCTCCATCGAACCGCTGGTATATAAACAGTACATTGGAAAAGGCAAATCTCAGTGGGATTTTGAGATTTGGTGGGGGATTGTTGGAATTAATGAATGGGCCTTAGCCCACTCGAAGATTAATTCTTTGGAAAATCACAAAAGCCCACCTCATGGGATGGCATGCATGTGGAGTTTAGTACCACCTTGCTTATTCTAGGAGAGGGGGACCTCCTTAAAAGGGAGGATGCCCTCCTAGCCACTTGAAGCATGTGTGGTGGAGAGAAGAGGGGAAACACACGCGCGCGCTCGCTCGCCTCGCCTGGCCTGGCCTGGCCTGGCCTGGCAGGGCAGGGCAGGCGGCGCGCGTGCACGATGTACGCGTCGAATGGTCCGAAAAATTGGCTCCTCACCCTTGCGCAGATGCAGCCTCCTTTTGCAGTTTTGTTTTGCTGCAAATTCGGATTCGTTTTGTTTTGGAAACGTTCCGAAAAATCCGGTGCGTGCAAACGGCGTGGAGTCCGGATAAGTTACGCGCGACTTATCCGGTTCGGTTACGCGCAGTAGAGATCGTGCGGGCGCCCTGATCAAGCGACCCTTCTCTATATAAACCGACCCGCCGTCTTCACGCAATATATGCGAAAATCAATCTAGGGTTTGCCTCCTACTCTGTACTGCGCCGTCGCTCGTAGACTACTCCATCCCGCTCGCCGGCGTGCACCAGCGATCGGGAGAGCAGGTCTCCGGAACCTCTGCCTTTGACGTCCTGCACCGGGAGAAGGCGGCAATAAGGTTTTTGGGAAGCGCTTCGCGCGACTGCTCCCTGTTCGTTCGCGACGGCTCGCCTTCCTCTTCGCTCGCGTGTTTCGTGCCTTCGTAGACACCTGCGAAAAGTTTCGACCAAGCAGCCGGTCTTTTCGTCACCTCGGTACGTGTTAATATGTTGCGCATATTTGATCTGTTCATGTTATTCTGCGTAGTTTACATGTGTAGATCTAATGATGCGTTCATGCTAGTTTTCATCTGTAATGTCATGATTTATTTATGGAATAAATTAAATCCTTATATGCCCATAATCTCAACAGGATGGGCCACACCCGTTAGTCCACCAAAACTAATTCCTTTATTCCAGAAATCCCAAATAAACTTTCCAGAAACATTCATTTACTTCTCCATGAAAATGTTCTCTAAATTCAATCTTTCGTTGGTCCTATCTCCTCCGTCCAAATTCAGATTCAACCCATTCTTTCTCCTATGTTATTCTGAAATTGAGCTCTACTTCCTGATTTATTTAGTTACTTCATTTGATGTTATTTTTCTGCCTTTTTCTTTTGTTTATTTGTTTTCTCCTTTTTGCAATCGTGTAGACGCCGTTGCCGAAGAGGTTGCTGCTGCAGGTGAAGATTTCGTCTGAAGATCCTGTGGGTAAAGGCAAGTGTACCCTTGAACATGTTGATCCTAACTTGCAAAATTATATTGTTTTAAATTATATGCATGATTTGTTTCACAAATTATTGTGTGGGTAGTTATAACCTACTTGTTAATTATTCCATGCCTTTGAATTATTGTTGATTACCTTTCATGCCATGTCACCCTAGTTTTCATGTGAGTCATATATGGGTATGGACTCAGGTACTTAGATTTGCTTAGCCCTACTCACACTAGTTTACAAGCAAAATATAATATTGACTAATGATCTACTTATCACTGTTTTTATATAAATTGTGTGGCTGTGTGCTATCTTCTTGGTGGCATGTGTTGCACCGTGTGTAGTAATGAACTGGTGGAAAATGTTTTAGACCGGGGCGATGGTGGATCTGTGTGAACCTGGGAGGTAAGCCATCTGTGTGCGTGCTTATCATTGACCTGTGTGGTCGATTGAGCGGTGTGCTCCAGAGCTGTGTGCTCCATTTTTGTTGTGTGCTTGAGGTCCTTAGTTTAAGCAAGTCGCCCTGGTCAGTTAAGGACTTCACTTCGTGCGCCATTGATCTGAGCCTTACCATGCAACCACATGTTTTCATGGGAAGGACCTAGCTTAGTACACTGCTTAGCTTTGGCACCGGCGGCCCAGGTGGCTAGATGATAGGTTTTTGGTTTGTACCATGGGAACTTTCACCTGTGTGGTGTAGGGAGGACCGCCCATGGGGGAAGCCGGTGTTAGGGCGAGGTAGGGGAAACGCTTTGTTACACTTTGGTGTTTAGCGGCACCGAACTGTATCTTGTGGGTAAAGTTGTACAACCTCTGCAGAGTGTCAATCTATTCGAATAGCCGCGTCCTCGGTTATGGACATGCTCGGTGACTTCACATGAGGGGTAGATTTGTGAAAGTTTTAATTTTGGGAAAGAGTTGTGTGCAGGAATTAATGAATATAGATGTGTTGTCCTGTGTGGACAAAGAACCTTTTGGTCTTGTGTGGACACAGTATCCTTTTTGGGTTGGTTGGTTGGTTAAAAATGTTGTGATTGCAAATGTTGCTTAAATTAAATTTATATCTATTTATTATATTTAAATTTGCAAATGCCTTTATGCAAATGAACCCTAACCGTCCTTTGAAGCCTTGTATCATATATTGCATATTCCCGTACACTTGCGAGTACTTTATGTGCTCACCCTTGTTGTCTCACCAAATTTCAGAGAAGGTCAGTTGTTTCTAGAAGTTCTGTTGCTAAGAACGTCGAATAGGTTGCGTGCCCCAGTCGATTGCCTGTGGTGTGTCGTTGGTGCCTCTCGCCTCTTTTTCCTCTGTTTATCTCTGTTTGACCCTGCGTGGCAAAGAAATTATAAAATCTGGTCATAAGACCAATGTAAAAATTATATTTGTTTCCTATTTATTAATATAATCGTGATGTGATTGTGATATTATCTTTTGTTACTGTGTGTGCTAGCGTTGATCTGGGACTAGCACATTACACACAGAGGGATCGTAATTGGGGTCCCGACAAGGGCCAAAAGATAGCTGATCTAGGTTGGCTTTCTCCTCATTGACAGATTGCCGATTGACTTGGATGGTTGCCTCTATATCTTTTCTTTCTCGCCTATTGGCTATCCTTTGTCTTGCTTTCTCCAACTTGAATTGATGTTGTTCAAGATAAAAAGCTGGAGTTAGCGTAGTGGCTAAGTCTTCTGGGATCATATTTTGAATTTCGTGGAACCAGGCCCTGATTGATCCACAATCGACTACCAAGACATCCAAGGAATTCTCTAGCCGATTTGATATTTCCATAAGAGTTCTCTTAACATCATCGGCTAGAGGAGCTAAGGCTTTGCTTGAGGTGTCTTCTTCTTCTTCATCCCAGAATTGTCTTATGTCAAAAGAGAACATATCGGCTAAAACCTGCAAGAAAGAAAAATGCAGATTCGGTTAAAGTGTTCGAATGTTTAAACAGCCGATATAAGATCAAGATAAGTACTTACAGGGACAGCAGGAGTTGGAGCTGCTGCATCTTCTACATGATGACTTCCTACAGCCGATGGGGTGTGTTCACTTGATTCAGGCTGAACAGGAGTTGGAGAATGAGGAGGCTAAAAAGAAAAGTGTTATTAGGAATCGGCTTATATGAATAAAAAGGAAATGAGAAAATATAAGTTACCGATGGAGGCAGTATTGGTTTCTTTCTGGCAGCCGATTTCTTCTTCTGCAGAGACAAGTGTTATGATGAAATTGGGATATGAAATTCTTGCAAGCATCAAGTTTTGATTAGAATACTTACCCTGGGATGCCGAGCTAGTTGAGGTGGTGCCGGAGGAATTCTTTGTGGAGCTGGGGTATCGGCAGGAGGTGTTTGTTCTCTAGTGTCACTGACTTCGGCAGCAGCTGCATCAATGTCTTCTTCCATGGCTTCATCATCCAGAAATTTGTCGACATCTGGATCAACAGTTGGTAGATCATCGGTTGCTAAAGTTTTTTGCTTATTTGTTTTCTTCTTCTTGGTAGCCGATGGATCTACAACCGATGGCTTGGTTCTTTTCTTCTTTCCGGTATCCATTGGGATAGGCTCTCTCATCTGTCCTTGAAGCAAACTTGTTGTCTTGGGGGGCATGGAAGCCGATGACAGGAGGAGCCAGTCCACCACCATTAGGAAGAAGGCCTGCAGCATAATTGATCTCCAAACCACTTTCACTATGATGAGGAGGTGAAGATTCTGTGGTCTGCAATCAAAGAAATAAATTGGATAAATTTTTATATCAGCAGATAGTTAAGGAAATTGATAAAAGTAGAAATTCTTACTTGAGGGATAACATCAGGGAATATGTTAGTGAGATACATGGAAACCGATTGATGAAATAAATGTTTCTTCCATTCAACCCACCATCGGTCAAATGTTGTGCTCCTGAGCAAAGCTAGCTCAATATTATCAATACTTCCAAGGGGAGGTCCTTGGATGCTTAGCAGCCGATCCATCATTAATGCCAATGTAATTTCCCCTCTATGCTGGATCTTGTCGGCAAAATACAAACCAATTGGCAGCTGTCCCAATCCAAGTTGTCTGGCAGCACTCATGGGGTGATAGAATTCGTAAGAAACTTGGATGTTTCTACCCTGATGTATGCCAACTGAGAGTATGCAAGGGCTGATAGCAGTAGTGAAAACTTCTCTAGACTTATCAAACTTCTCAGAATTAATGTCATCAAATCTGAAGTCCGAGGGAAGTTCAAAGCTATCAGAATCGGCATATGCAAACCAAACTATTGAATCCCTGGGGAACCCATTGTAGAAGCTTGCAAACCAATCTCTGAAAGGATCGGCTGACAGTTTGGATCCAGCATTAGTTGATGCTGCCTCTCCAAAAGACATGCATCGGCATGTGGTTATTTCTTCCCTATCTTCATCGGTGATTGGTTCGAATCTTGGGAAATCTGCTTCTGTCAGGGCTGGTCTATCGACAACTTTCATAGTATGCAAATTCAACCAGATTTGAAGAAGCCACCAAGGGCCACCTATGTCGATTGCTGATCCAGAAGCAATTCTAGCCGATGTTGAGTTCAGTGTTTGGTATAAATAACCTAATAGATATTTTCCTAATGGAAATCCTTTTTTTTCTACTAGGGACTCGGCTATGTGTTGCCAGTTTACAGTTGGGCCACAGCTTGGACCACAGAACAAGTACTTTTCTAGCCACATCAGAAGGAATGCTGTGTGTTCTCTTGGAGTAACAGCTCCATTCCCCATGTTTGATGAGACAAACCCTGACCAACCACCTATGCTCCTGGTTTTGAAGTCAAACTTGTTTTTGGTATTCAAGCCGACTGGATTAACCGATGAAGTGATGTCTAAACCAGTTATCATGGTTATGTCTAGCAAAGTTGGGGTCATTGGTCCCTGTTTAAACAGAAAGCCATTCATGGCATTGGACCAGAAATAAGAAGCTGCCGACATCAGAGGTTCATCCTTAGCCATATTGGCTGCAGTCAGAGCTAGGGCTTGGGCTATCCCAATTTCCTCCCAGTGAGAACCCTTGCTAGCCGATACCCTTTTATACCAAGCCGGCTAACTCTTCTAAGTTGATGGCCATGACTTAAAGGTATTTTTTCAAAGACTTAAGTTTGGATTGGCTAGTCTAAAGGGGATCCTATTGGTTTCGGCATTAATGAACTCAGTTGGATCCAAATTGTCGATCGGACCAAGAAAGTACTGATTGGGATGAACTAAACTTGGGATTGCGATCTGATGAGAAAGGTTCTATAGAAGAAAAGAGGAAAAAGGCAGATTGAGCGAAGAAAGAACTAATCTACTGCAAGAACAAGGGATCTAGCCGATGGGGACTTACCTCGGGGAATTCAGCCGATGGTGCAGCAAAAGGACCAGCGGAAGTTGACATCGTCGCGGGTGAGGTCGCCACTGCAGGGAAGTCGCCTCCGGATCGCCAAAGGGGTTCGAGGGAGTTGCCGGAGAGAGAGAAGACAGGTGTGATGTAAGCGGTGAAACGAAAAGTAACGGTGTGAAATTTCTCGGGGGTGACAGTTAGTACTTATAGCGGGGCCATAACGGTCAAAAAACGGAAAGCCCTAGATTTTCTTGGAGATAAGATTTGGGCAAATCCGCAACATTACCAAATATCGCGGACTTGGGGGGCATATGTTAACGATCAAATTTGGTAAATCAAGCATTGGAGATAGAGATAAAACCGAAGCAAAATCAAAAGAAATTGAATGTTTCGGAAACAGAGTGCACATCGACTAAAGTCCGAATCAGCTACGATCTACATCGGCAGAGTCGAGTCGGACAGGGTAGCCGATGAAGCCGATTCCGACAATATGATATTGGAGTCATTGTTGGATTGGGTTGATATGCCTCATGAGGATAGCCATGCATGGATTGAGTCCAAAGAAGGCAATTGTATCTATTAATTAGATTATTTTATGTAAATTCCTTATGTTTCAAGTCGGTAAGAGTCCACCTTAGGGACTTGTTTGCATTTTGAGTTGTAATAGAGATAGGTGTCGTGTCCGACAGGGACATATTATGTACTTTGGGTATAAAAGTAGCCCAAACCCATGTAATTAATTAACAATCAGTTTAATAACAATCTCGGCGCATCGCCACCCTTTCGTTTTAGTTTACTTTCGACGAGTTCTTGCTTTCAAGTTAGGCTGCATCGGTTCGATCTCCGACGACAAGGTAAAACTTGTTATGATGGCTTGTGTTCTCGGGATTAGTGCTTCCATCTCTATGATACTCTAGTCTTGTTTATATAAGTTGTTGATTTATCATATATTCTATATAATCTAGACTAATATTGTTATCTAGCCTCAAATCAGCTAACATCTCTTTCTAGAAGGTAGCCGATAGGGTTAGATACCAACGTTGAATTAGATTATATAGTTTATCTACCATCTTGAAAGGCTTTCATCGACTTGTATAGATCTTATACATCTCCTTATGCTTAATGCTGCATCGGTTGGGTCCGACCTATTAAGTAATATTTAGAATTATAATATCTAACTTGTTTTATGATTGCTATTAGAGATAGCATCGGAGTTTCAGCCTATCTTACCTGATTTAGTTATCTTATTCATTATTTTATGTATTTGATATGCTAAATCTGCTCTTTATATTAAGATCTCACTATAGTAAAATATATTGAGCTTGTTGTTAATCTGTTAAGTTATCTTAGCAATCGATTGATATCTGTTTAATATATTTCACTTGCATTGATATCGTAGTATAAAGTTGTATCGGAGTATTAGCCGATACATGTTAGATCTACAACATCGGCTATGCTATAAACATATATAATCTTTATATTGAAGTACTTTTAGACATAAGTGATTTATACTGTCTCGGCAAGCTGTCCGATCTATCCCAATCACTTAGTTTAAACATATTTCGATATACATATTATATATTGTTAATATCTACAGCCGATCGGATAGATCTAACTTTCTTTTGCTTTATATTTCATTGCCGATCTACCTTACGTACCATCGGCTAGGTTATAAACGAGACGTCATCGGCCATTAGCCGATCGGCTATCGTTTGAGGATTTAACTTCGTTTTCTTGTTTCTTGTTGATTGCAGGATCAAACTAACTGGCACGCCCTTAAACCCAAAAGCAAGATTTAGGTCCAGTACTAGAGTTAAGCAAATCTCTCATGCCAGTGTGTGTTTTTTGCAAATACACACTTGAACAAAACTAAAACTCTACTTCTACTACCAACAAAGTAGATTGTCTAATTTTACACAAAATAGAGAATATAAAATAAGGCTCCTTTGGATTAAAGGATTTTTTTAAAGGAGTTGTTTAAGAAATTAATTCTACGAAAAATTTTCTAATATGGTCCTTTGGAACAAAAGAATTACTAGCTCCCACAGATACTATAAAATTCCTTAGAAATAGGCAAGATCATTGGAATTTTAGAGGATTCCTAACATGAGATTCAACCTCATGAAAATCTTCCTTTGTGCCTATCTCTATTGATCTCATGCGCTCCATCTAAACGACTATTCATGTAATTTTCCTTTTCCTGTATTTTGCCATTCATAAGATTTGAAGCGCTATACTATGCATTTTTTTTATTCCCTGTTTTGAGAATCCTATGTTCTAAAATGTGCCATAAGAGCATGCTGCCTATCTTTGCACACACAAAAATCTTATCAAAATAACAATAAAAAAAGAACAAGTTGGCATGAAAATGGGAGATTGAGGAAATGTGCTTCATGCTAGCTTGTAGAAGGAGCATTATAAGAGGAAGGACCACAGACAGAAAAAGATAAGATGGTGGGCATCGGCTAATATCTGTCCATGCAAATATGCAATGCATGTCCAGCAGCATGTGCACACAACCATATCACACGGGTGTGTAGCTGCAGGCCGAGCCTACCACCAAACACCAGCAGCAGGCAGCAGCAACTGGGGACTGATCAAGCTAAGCCAAGTGGTTGCAGGCTGCAGTATATATCATCTTCATTTTCTTCTCTTTCTTTTGGCCAATTTGATCGGACCTCACCGAAATTCTGAAATTTCGAAAATTTTGAACAAAATTTAGTTGAATTTGAACAAATATTATCAAAATTCATAAAAAAATGAAAAAATGAAAAATTTCGGCCGAAGTAATATCGTATCGGAGGGGACCGAAATGACCGAAATTTCGGTCCGAAATTTTCAACCCTGGTCATGGCACTTGGCACAAGATCACACTATGAATAAACTTTAGCACCAAAACTGTCACTACTTTTAGTAGCTCATGGCCTTTAACTGTCAGGCTTAAAATACAGTAGTAATCCAGAGTATGATCCAGAGCAAAAGGTTAAGCTGGCCATGCGAGATAAAAGAAATAAAAAGATGACCGAGTAAAGAAATGCCTATCGTTATTGAACCTAGTAGTGCAGCCAACGGCCGGCATTATCGAGTTTGAACGTTCAACTAATGGAGTACCATTTTCCGGTGGTTAGCCACTTTTTACAGCTCACGGACCATAGGCGGCAGTCGATCGGCAGTGCAGCCATAGCATGTTGTAGTTGTCACCACCTATAAGAAACACATATATCTGCTTCAACATTTAGATATGCTATTTTTTCGTAAAATTTTCTACAATACAATTGTATGCAAATCAAGTTGCATTTTAGAAACCTTATCAATGTAAAAGCGTCACTTGTGATTGAAGGGAGTGATTTTAAGCTTTCTACTCCTATATAAAAAAGGAACTAGTAGTTACCTCATGATTAAACATGTGGGAATCCATCTCTCAAGCCGATCAGACAGATTGTCAGCGATTATTGTAGATAAATCATCCCTAGATGCATGCATAGCTAGTTAGCTACATGTCAACATGTAATGAGAAGGGTCATGATACGTGTGAAGCGATTGGACGGTAGCGGCTACGTACCTCCTTGTGATGGATTAGTAGCGACAAGTACGCGATTAAGGAATTAATTAGGCCTGCAAGTGCGTGTCCGCACATGGTTGCAAGTTTTGAGAGTTCTTGGGATACGTTAATTATTAGTGAAGTAATTAACTGATGTGATATCATAATTAACTAATCTGATCGATCCACGCCAAAAAGCTCTTCGCTGGAGGCTTTTAGGCCCTCCAATTTTGTGAGTTATGAGGTGCATGTTTAGAGCAAGTTTAATAATAGAGCCAACTATGAGTTTATAACTTATATTAGAGTTAACATATACAGTAGATTAGTTATAAGGTTATCTCTATTTTTCTCCTTCTCTCTATCTCTCACCTATACATTAAATGTATTTATCTTGAAGTATGTGAGTGCTAGCTCTTACATGAGGCCAACTCTCTCTATTTTTCAAATTCTCTGTCCTCCACATAAACTTATAATTGGCTTATAGCATACTATTAAACTTGCTCTTAGCCTAACTAAAGCTGACCTGCATTTTATTTTATTTTTGTTCAGTTCAGTTCAGTTGTGCATGCATGCAAAGAGGGATCCTTTGATGGCCTGATCAACTGTAAAATTGTTTATAAACATGGTTAGTAATATAGAAATGACACAGATAGATTCCATGAGTTGGTACACTAGTGGAGCTTGACAGTGCCGTGGTGAAAAATTACAGAATTTTCTGAACATTTCTAAAAATCAACTCATAGGGATTATATGTTCTACATCTGAAAAAATCAAAATAAAAATCCAAGATGTGAAAAGATAAATGCTACATGAGATAGTGCTTCAACTCTTTTCAGCACTGATGTTCTTGTACTTCTAAAAAATCAAATCAACTGTATTCAATCTTACAAATTTTACAGATAGTAATAACATTAGAAAAAATAATCTTCTTCCAAAACATATCGAATGTGACCATACCCATTCAGAAGCTCACGGGTGTGAAGCTGGTCCATGAATTGATATCATAGTGTATGATCATTTCTGATGTGGTAAAGGCCCCCATTTAACCTACACACTAGACAGACAATGATCCATGGATGAGGTAGCCATGCCAACCTGATTCTCAACGGTTTCCTCAATGACAACTTGGCCCCAGCAGCATCATCCTGTCTATTTCTACATGCTAATTAAGCATGGGACCGGAAGGGAAAAAACAGCAAAGTGAGTGATTGAGGATTCCATTTGCATTCCAGTCCAGGTCCGGCCCCATGAAATGAAACCAAACCAAACAGTAGTACAGGATTCCAGGTGTGAGATGAGACGAGATGACATTTCTGAAATAATAAGTGACCATGGGCTCTGCGACAGTCGTCAGATGCGGTCGTTGGATTATGCAGCAGCTCGATCTCTTCACCTTGCCCCACAGGATCGCATTCGCATGGCGACACCATCAAAACACTTGCACATTTCTTCATTTTCTCTTTTCATGTCACGCTCTACCTCAAGTTCAAGTTTCAACTCCACTCCATATACAGTTCAGTATTCCAAAATTCCAATTCATCACAGGGGCAAGCTACATTCTCAGCTACTCAGCTTGGAACATAGTAGAAAAATTCATATGAAAACAGATTGGATCTCATCTCTAGCAAAGGATAAAACCTAAACTCTGTACAACTGGAGCTAGAAAGTGCATGTCTCCTCCAAGAAAAAAAAATGAAATGGTGTACCAAACAGAACAGACACTCGAGTCCATCAAGTCACGCGTGTTCATAACACGTAGTACTGTTCTATTTACCATAGCTCTGCAGGTCCATTCACATGTGAGCAAGATAGAGTGATAAACACACAAAAGCTACTAGACATGTGTCACAGTCCAAAATCAAAGCCAAGCCAAACCAAGCCAACATATATTGGCAGGCAAATCAAGTAATCAGCGGCCAGAAACAGTGTAAGTTGCTTACAGGAGAGCAGGCACAGGCTGCCCCAGAGCCTCGTGCCCCGGCTGCTCATCAGTGTGCTACTGTTTGGAGATCACAGGTAGCACATCCCTTTCCATGGCGATTAACGTATACCACACTGAACCAGCAGATTGCGACCATTTGGCAGCCAGCCACTGCTTGCAACCATTTTGTCAAGGTCCAGTGATTCACACATCAATGTGTATCATAATAAAGATCCCAACGTGTCACCAACCCAGCCTTGAAAAAACATCCAGATTCCAGACACAGTTGCTGTCACCGACCCACACAAATATCAGTTGCTCAGTTCCAGATCATAACAGAAGTGTACCAAAATATATGAGAAAAGGACTCTCATAAGATGATGCCACATATACCTGGCAACTCCGAAATAAAGCATCAGGAATAGTTAATCAAGCTTAACATTCATACTCTACAACAATCCTGAACAAAAAAACAAAAAAAAAAAAACTACCCATCTCAAAATAACACAGCTGGTATTGGCAGCCACAAAGCCCCATATACAGGAAAATAGGGTCTCCAGCATCACCCAAGTCAGCACCATCATCAGGGTTGCATCTGAAGTTTCCTGAGCTATATCAGCAACATGAGAATAGTTACCACAAGACTGTAAAATTGTGGATCATCTAACCGCTGCATTTGTGCCAGAAGGTTGTGAACTAAACTTCTGGGCAATAGCATTAATGCAAGACCTGTTCCTAAGTTACTCTCCATTGACAAAGCTTTTACTGTCGTAGTACTTCTTCTCACTGGCTTCTTTCTTCTCGTTCCGTTTCTGCAAAAGCAAAACCACAGACTAAAAATGAACAAAACCACAGCACATCAATGGACCAGAATAAATAAATGCAAACTACACCAAGTCCCCACACCAAACAACATGTTGCTGAGCGTAGTTATAGCATGAAAAAATTGGTCCCAGAGAAACAGACAAATATTTAATGCGCATATGCAAAGGGCTTCAAGAAAACACTAACACATTATCACAAACATCGGTTTATAATAAATCATGTACACACATCATTAATATGAAGTAGACAACAGGCAAATCGCATTTATTTGACTGGGATTATGTATTTTACTACATGCTGCATGCACCAAACAGAAAAACCAGACTCCCACCTGCCAATTTGACGTAGCACCAATATACCATGTTACATAACATACCTGGTAGGCTTCATGGTTAGCAACTATCCTCCTTATGATAGTACTAGTAGTGATGTCTAAAGGGCTCTCCAGTCTACGGTAGATGCCCATAGCCCTTGGAACAGCATATGGATTTAAATCATCCTGATAGGTGCACAAGTAACAGTTGTTAATGATCAATGCTATACATCTTTATATTCTAAGAAAATGTATTGAGTAAGTAACCTTCATAAAGTCCATATTCTCAGCAATTGTCCCATGAACAACCAACGAAATATTAAATGTGGTAATCTGCACAGAAAAAGGAAATTAGCTACCTCCAGCCACACTGCAAAGACACATACCCTGATAATCATAAGTAACAGTTAAAGGGTATGAATTTCAGATGGTCAATTTCAATGATAATATTGCATACAAATACATAATCTGGTTCTTAACAACATATCTAACGGAAACTTAGACTACATCAAATTAAACTTTTGGAACCAAGCCAGCTCCTAAACTTTTAGTTTATTTGACTGTGACATAAAATTAATGCTACGTGCAATCGTGCATCTGCAGAAAATCATGGATAAGCACAAATCCGACCATATCTGTTAATCTGTATCTAAAATCAATAATAGCTGTGAGCAAGGCTTTTGCTGGCGTAGCATAAATATCATGTTCAATCTTTGAACTGTGCATGCATAGTTGTGCCATGTTCAATGAACTATTACTAGCAGTTGCATCAAGCAATTCCTACTACAGTAAGAGAGCATCATGATAAAGTAGAACAGAAAACTAACCATATCTTTCGAAACATCCCATGGAGCACCAATGATCACTTCATCAACATAACGGCAAGCCAAAACACTCAAACTTCTCTCATGGAGGTTCATGATTGGGCGATGTGGTCCTCTTGTTGAACTGGCAAATACGGTAAACACCAAGTGCCCCCAAAAACAGAATGTTATGACGACGGAATTGAGTAGAGATGCTATGCTTCAATACAAATACAACCTGACTATAAACTAAGATGCAAAACTGAAAAACAGTACCAAGCATTGTAACTTGGAAAAATTGAGACAGTGGAAAAAAAAAACCATCATTATTACCTTATAGTCTGGTCTGTGTGAATACCCACAAGCAGGAAATCTCCAAGCTCTCGAGCGAGGCGCAATATCTAAGTAGAAGAAACTATAAATACACAGGAAGTCCAAATCACTATGTCTTAGAGAGATCATTTCAGTTTGCACCCTTGCAATAAGAAAAAGAAAAGGAAAAGGAAAACCACAGGTAAAACCATACAACCAACAAATGCATAGCCAAGTTGCTCTACATGCTGAGACAGACATTTGACATTGCGTTTACCTCAACATGTCCAGCATGGAATAGATCAAATGCACCATCTATGTACACTATCCGAGAATCTGGACCTGGACCCTGCATAGGTAAAGCTGACAGTCAACAGAAAGAATAAGTGGCCGTACTCAGCAAGTAGTTTTATCTAGTGAATAGTATCAAATGTAAACAGCTTGAAATAAATGATAAACGACTAATGCAATGATTAATTAATAGTTGAGCTTAGCAGCATGTTAGTTCTTGTTGGAAGTTCAAGGATATAACTTATATTCTTTACTAATATAACCTCAGAACAAATCTAAGTTGTGAAATAATCCATTTGTCGTCAGGTCATTCAACTCAATGTTTACTAGATAAAGAATGCAACCAAACAACAAATGTCTTTCAAATGGCAAAAGTATTAGTAAAATGGTAACAGGATCCTGAAAGCCAAATAACTCGCGCTCTACTGTTTAAAGGCAAAAAAAAAAAACATCTATGAGGCATTTTTATGCTGTCAATGTTTAATTCATGCCTTCAAAAAATATGATATCTCAAAAAAAATGACATTCAAAGTTTTACATGAGCAGTTCAGAAAATGATCCTCTGTGAAAGAATGTAAAGAGCTGTACCCTGCTATTTGAGAACTGAACTATTCTCCGAGATGTAGGAAGAAAATGAGATATCCTAGTTCCACTTCCAGATCCACTATCATCAATTTTCTGGCCATGCCCGTGACTGAACTGCCTTTGTAGTGAAGAGTGGTTGTGACTATCAGAAGCTGATCTCTCTCTAACACAAAGAAGCATTCTTCCTGTAGTTTATTTACTAGAAAGATGAGCTGGGCAGTTAGCATGAAAATAAAACCTATTCATGACCATAAGCAATTTATTGATACAGAAGGGAATTATGTAGTTAATTGTCTGGAGAGCTTAATAGCTTATCAGTTCATCATATAATAATAAAGCAATAGTTTGAATGTTTTCCTAAAGTACCACTTCAGGACAAATCAGGTGGGCACTGATCTTGTCTACAAACAATTATTTGGTTGACCTAGAAATAATTGTAATGTTGGAAATTGCTATGGTATTGAGCCAAAGAAATAACTTGTAAAGTTGTAGTACATAACAAGAACCATATATTCCCTTGCGATGGAAGTTTTAGGTTAAATTTCACTATGAGTAAAAACTTTAATGATTAAAACAGAAAAGAACAGAATCAGTACCAACAATGTCTGTCGTTGACACTCCTTCGGTTCTTTTAATCTGTTTAAATCGACCAACCTTTTTGGCAAGAGCATATGCATCAGTACCATCTGGGAGCAGACAAGGATCATCGCCATGGATGATATAATCTATATTATACTCATTGAATAATTTATTCATGAAATCCTCAGTTATGGCGTAAGGTGCATCTGGAATAACATCGTGTACCCATTTTACAGCACGGACCATTATCAACCTGTATATCAGAAAAAGAAACATAAAAAAATCATTCAAGACAAAATGGTTTTTTTTGAAGTGGAAAATATGGGTATATGATAATACATAATACAATCAAAGAAACAAAACTGCAAGTCTAAAAGAACAAAAATGCCTAAAATTCCATATGACATGGGGTCACACGTAAAATTGGTAACACAACTAAAAATAGAAAGAAAAAAAAAACAATATGTGCAGTAACTCCTAAACTGGAAAACCAGACACAATGAAAGTCAGTAAACAACAAAAGAAAACCAGCAAAAATAACAAATTTATAGTGTTGCTAAACCACCATGATGATGATTAAATGAGGAAAAAAAGGTTGCAGCACCTAACATCTAAAATGCCACACATACCATGTCATATGTGAGCAGCTTGTGATTATCAACAAGACAAAGGAAAGCAAGGAATCACTTAGCAGGTACTTAAGGCAAACTGAGCAGAACCAAACCTGCAAGTCTAGTATGGTTTATCGTTAGGAATTAATAAGTTTTTTGGATTTGTTTGAATGTACAGACCAAAAATTCATTGTTTAGTACTTTCAGCAGAGCAAACCTTTTTTTTTCTGAGTTTCTCCTTCAGGCACCCAAAAGAAATAGAGCTAATCTTTTTCGTTACTGCTCAGATATTGAATCCGTACTCAAATGAATTAGAGAAACATAAGCAGCTCATCCACCACCAAAGTTATCAGAAACTTGGTCCGACGACTAACTACAACCCACATGTCACAACATTTCCCTTAGCAATTTCAAGTTTCCAGATAGAATTACTGGACTAGTGCTCGAATTAAGACCGACAGACACATATATGATGTGTGGGGGGAAAACGTCGCAGCTTCAAAAACTAATCTAAGGATATCCTTATAAAAGTGCTCCACTAGTAACTTGTATTGTGCAACAGTACATTGAACGCAACTAAAGAGTCGAAACTGAAACAAATCAGTGTGCGATACAAATTAAGTTATGAAATAGTAAAAGCAGTAACATATTCCCCATGATTAGGACAGAATCAGTGTGCAGCTGAAATTGAAACAGAAGATAGGAAGTTTGATGCAACAGCTTCTCGACTAAACCATTAACCCAAGTAAAAGATCGCCCATAAGGAACAACCCACAACAGTTACCCCTAAGAACTTGAAATGCCCACAGAACACTGCAAGATATGTAGAGGAAAATTCACTACCTATAGGCTGATTTGCCTAAATCATTATTAAAGCACACAACCAGTATCAGGTAACAGTTTGGTAGGATTACATCGTGCATCATTCAAGAATTTTTTTTAAAAAGAGAATGACAAAGGGTTTGGAGTGAACCTCTCGTGGAGGGGCGTGACCGGCGGGCCCTTGTTGGCGGTGATCTCGTGGTCGCTGACAACGCCGACGATGAGCTCGTCCCCGAGGGCGCGCGCCTGGCGCAGCGCGTTGCAGTGGCCGTAGTGCATCATGTCGAAGCAGCCATCCATGTAGACGCGCACGGGGCGCCGTCGTCCGCGGCGGAACCGGCGGCGGAGCGCGTCGACGGGCGGCAGGGCGGGAATGGCGACGGGGCCGGCGAGGTGGAGCGCGACCACGGATGCCCCCAGCACGATCCCGCCGATGACGCACGCCGCCACCAGCTTGGCGCTGCTGCTCCCCGCCCCCGCCTCCATAATGAATTGGGAGATTGGACAGTGCGAGAGAGACACAACAGGAAGGAAGAGGGAGATTGGTCGTGCGCGAGAGGGCGTGGGAGGAGGGATCTAGGGTTAGGGATTGGGGCGCGTGGGTGGAGGAGGTATCGCCATTCGAGGTGAGGGGAGGGCGCGACGCGAGGAGATCAGGGTGGGAGATGCGGGAGAAGAGAAGCCTCTGGTTCTCTCTCTTGTCTCTCCGAGCTCCGCGAGAGAGATGAGGGGGATTCGCTGCCACGTGGGACCAATGAGTCAATCAGCGTGGTCCCACATGGCGGTGTGACGTGGCATAGCAGAAGAAGAAGTTGCCAGGTTTGGCCCACGCGTCAGGGAGGGAGCTGTTGTCTGTACTCTGTACTAATCCACGTATGGCGTCGAAAATAAAAACGACAATAACAACACACTAACACGACATTAGCATGAGGATGGGGGTTTATGGATTGGTTCAGCTAACCGCCCGACCGACCAAATGATGTTGTGCTTTTTCGTGTTGAAGGATGATTAATTAACTCGATGGCAGGAAATTCTAACCAATGTGCTGTGTAGCTAAGATCATCGGATGGAACTTTTGTTGATTGATTAGGACGTTGGATATGCTGCCCATATGCTGCTTCAGTTGCAGCCAGCATCAGATGCGAGCCCCATACACTCAGGTGGAGCACCTCAAATGTGAAGATGAAGCTGAAAATGACATTTTTGGTACGTGTTTGGTTCTGTTTCTAGCTTAAGGCCCTCTTTATTTAGGCTTAGGTTTATTGGCCTAGACTTTTAAGTCAGCTTATTGGTTTATATGATTTATAAGCCGGTGGATTTAATGTCCTAAGTTTAGTAGTTGAGTCATACATCTACCTCACATAAGCCAAAAAAGCTTCTCCAACCTAGCTTTTGGCTTAATAGTATTAGAGTGGCTTATGGTTTCAAAAAAGCTAAACGGAAAAGCTGCTTGTTTGTTTAGGCTTAGACTTTTCGACTTATAAGTTAGCTTATAAGCCTAAACAGAGAGGCCTAAAGATACTACTACTGTCTATTGTTGATATTGAATACGGAGTACTAGCATTTCTTGCCTTCGTGATGGTGGTGTATGCAAAAGGAAACTTGATCTGAATGACCCAATGAAACAAGTAACATAGTCAGCACTCAGCACAATGACTAAGGTTTTCCTCTTCTTCTTTTTTTCCTTGTTACCCGGGACAAGTATGAGTGACAGTGTGACGCTGACACCAATTCCAGCAAGTGGTCAAAGAATAATAGCAAAAATATCTCAACTATACAGAAAACTACGAATGAAACTGGAAACTAATTTTTCAACACAAAATTAATAAGACTTTGGAAGCCAGTCCAATCGGGGCATTTTGTGTGGTTGTTACTGAACCTCTGCTTCTTCCTCTTCCCTCATTCACAGGCATAGGGTTTCGATTTCAACTCATTTATGGGGTACCAGGCAAAAAAAAAATCGTGCGTTTAGGAAGCAAGGTAACAGAAAAGAACAAATTATAAAAGGAAGGGTTTTTTTCTACAACAAACTGAATTTACAACATGTTATTTCCGAGTACACTACACAAACAGGATGTCAGCAAAATACAAACAAATCCCTCCAAACTGTGATTAAAGCGCCATCTCTGCTTGAAGTTTGGTCAGTTCAGCCAAATCATTGGCTGGTTGAGATGAAGTTGTAACTCTCGCTGATGGTTCCATGCGTGTACTCTGAGGTGGTTCAGGCAGCTCATGGTCGAGCTCTTCCTCCTCCAGATCTTCCAGCTCTGCTTCTAGTTCATCCTTCAAAATAGAAAATATGAGAGTCAAACATCTTCGGAAAATTGGCATCGTGTGCAATTATGTATTTTGTGTCTTGGTGGCATGCCTATTTCGAGTTAGATAATACCATCTTGCACACGTTTTAATTGACGCCAGAGGGGAAAGAGATAGATGAACAGTACCTCGTCGAAATCAGCAGAAGCGCCAATTGGTGTTGCAAGTGCCTCCTGTATCTGCCTCATATTTTCTGTGTGTTCATTTGCCTCTTCAATGGCATTTTCAATGTCATCAATACTCCTGTGAAAGAAATGTTGTTATCAGTTGATCCAAGCACATGCCTGATGCTAACTAGACTGTTGCCTCCTGTATGGATTAACTGACACTCTTGCTGATTTTAACTACTTGCTATAAGTTTGTATCTATATTTAAGTTCATAATGTGAAAGACAAAAGGAACAACAATACAGTAGAAATGTACACACATTTGGCATTTAGAGCATCTTATGCTTCTGAATTCATTGTATTAACGATTCAATTTCAGAAACCATGAATGGAGGGCAATCAGAGACTTACACTGACTGATGAATAGCTTTGACAGCAGATGATCCAGAGCGCAAAGCATCAACGGTATCTGTGGTTGCCTTTGCGCTCTCAAGCATTATTATCTACCAAAACAAACAATTTCCTGTCAATTTGAATTTATAACAACCTTCTGGAATATCAGAATGCTTCAAAAGTCAAGATTGAATATGCGCCCATATATCTCATCACCTGATCATGAACTCGCAATTGGAAATTTGCTAGCTGCTCAATTTGTGTTTCATACAGCTTCTTTTTCTTTAGACACTGAATTGCAGCTGCAACAAACAGGTACTCTCTCATATAGTTTATAGAAGTGTCACAAGCTTGAGAAATATTTTTCTCATCATTAAGGAACCATTACCATAGGTACACATGCAAGATTACTGACCCACAGTTTTTCTACTCTGTATCATACATGAGTTGATGTGCAAGATTACTGACCCACATATTTTCTACTCTTTATCATACATGAGTTGATGGGTAATGTAAGACATGACCAGGAAGCTTGTATTTGGCCATAACAAAACAGGGTAACTGCTATTGTTCTTTACAGGCTTCTTAATCTCCTAGTTGCAAAGTTCTTCAAGTATTAATGCATAACAAACAAACATCTTCAACAAGTTTATGTATTATATACATTTACATAAAAAATGTGATATAAGTGTAAATGTTTCTTAACAAACAAAAAAATTTCTTGAAAGAAATGCTTACCGCTTTTGTTCTTAGCTTTTGTATAATCCTTAGCCTTTTCAACTTCTGCAGAAGCCTTCTTCTGAAGAAAGCACTCTTTCTTCTCCAGCATTTCTAGAGTCTGCACATGCAAATTGTATTAAAATTAGGCCGCAGTGAATGGTACATATAAGATAAAAAAAATCAGTTCTATTTATAACTGGAGCAATTATCTCGTTAGTATCAGCTGAAAGCTCCTTAGAATATAAGAGATTTCCATCTTCTTTAGCTAAACTAAGGCTCTCTTCAACATTATACATCATTTTTGTTGTGATACTATATGCAGCAATAGCAAACCGAAGGCATAAATATTGATACCACTTCAGCAGGGACTAGGCTGGAACAATAGCGATCACCCTAATATGAAGTTTGTTTTTCCTTTTCATAAGGCAATGATTTTTTTCCTCAAACATACTTTACTATTTTTTTTAAAGTTATTATATGTCTACTGAGAGGTAGACTGAACTTCATAGTGATAAAGACTAAGAACAAGAGTACATCAGAAGTGTCACCATCAACAATGTAGCTTATAAGCTTATTATTTCCTTGTAAGTTTTAACAGGAAAGTGCTTTATAAAATTGACTAGAGGAATCCCAGATTCAACCAAGTATATTCTTCTAGATGCAGCGCAACTAACAGTCAAGATATACAACTGGCTAGCAAGTTTGGCCATGTCAAAACTGAACTTAAGATATTGCTTTTTCATTCAGTATTGTCTTCTAGAGATCCATTTTAAGAACACACAGAAACACAGTCAATCACATTCATTGCTGCCTTCAACATAAGATGGTCAGGGTAGCTTCATGAGATTGGTTTGCCTATTTACTTGGGCAATGCATGGTCATGAGGTTTTGCTTCCATATATTTCCAAGGTGGTCAGTTGTTAAAATAAACCCTTCTTTTTTACTAAAGCTTTTCTTCGGGGATACTAAAACTAATTAGCTATCTCTTCAAACTGTGCAGCCATAAACTCCCAACCCCGTCATGCTAACATTAGATAGCTTGATAATAGTCCCACAGCTGATAAATTTCTGCGGAGACAACACAGAATACAAAGTAATCGAGAATAGAAAAGGAATAAAAGAAAAGGGATGAACAACCTCATGGAGACGATCCAAAGTGGGGAGCGCAGAGGAGGCAGCCTCCTTCTTCTTGCTCTTAGGCTTTGATAGCAGTTTCTTCAGCATCTTCTTGTCACACCCACCTCTGGATTCTTACTGTCAGATGATGATGGCCTATGTTAGGAAGGAAGAGGTGGATGATTAATGGCTAAATCTGTATGGTCGTTCCAGTAGGGTGAAAGACCAAGAGGAGTCGAGGGGAAAGTAAAGGAAATGGAGGTTAGAGTCAGATTCGTTGAGAATTGTAGGAAGAAACAGCAGGGATAGCTTTAAGCCTTTAAGCATGTGAAGGAAGATAAAAGTGGACCTGTGCGCTTACGAAAAAGAAATAAGGACAGTTTCAATGAGATCACTGTCTTGAGATACTTGCTCCATGTTTGACAGTTTGCCTATGTGTGACCACTTTTTGTTCAATAGGTTTTTATTTCTGGAAAGATACTTTCAATGCTAAAATCAAGCCTTGTTGTTACAAGTATAAACAATTGTAATTATCAACTTGCTTCCTAAAAACACTAAGGTCTTAAAAGCATGTGTTGTACACTAAAGACTACCGCAGATGAAAGGGAGGAGGTATCAGTCAAGATAAAATATCAAATTCACTATGTGAAATTTGTATATATTTTGTTGAATAAATTTCAAGCAAATTACTTTGACTGTGACTATTCTACTGCCAAAAGAGGGGTATAAATACAACACAAGAAACACTTTCAACTTTCTGATGACAGAGAACTGTAGTAGGTTATGTTGGATTAGGTGTGCCTTGCATATCTTGGCAAATCCCTGGGCTCCACGTTCATGTGGTTAGTTGAATGTACTCTACAAAGCTTGTTGTGACAACAGCCTGCACCTCTCTGAGACTGAAGTCTGAACCTAATACTCATCCCATCATTTTTCTTACTTGAAACAAATTAAGCTCTTAAGACAATTTTGTAAATAATGCGCTTCTCTTTTTAGGACAAGTAGTTGATCTGCCATTATTCGTCTTAACAAATGATGATGGGATGATACAAGATGCTGTTGGTGTCTTTTTACCAAAGTGGGGGGGTGAACTGCAGCTTGATAAACTTCACATACAACTAAAAGGCAAACAAAGAAGTAGTCTTGCTCCATGAGTTATTTTTCTTGAAAGGATTGAATTGATGCCAAATGGAGTAAAATTCCAACTCCTACATGGCTAATAATAGGCTAATAGCATAGAAGAAAAGGTCTTAGCGAAATCTGGTCAGAACCATCACCGTGTACGGTACAGCTACGAAAGAACAGAAACGTACATGTATGCTTTAGAAAATTCAATTCTCCACATTACATACCAACGAAAGCTACGGATCCACTTGCTCAAGGACTCTCAAATCCCCCCAGACGAGTGCAAACCTGAAAAGAAACGCGTAGGCTCACTTGGTATGCGAACAAACGAACAGCAAATGCAGCAGCAGCATCTCTCCCCGACCTTAAGAATATTGGGAAAAGAAGGGGAAGAAAAACTCCTTACCCCCAGGCCTGAGCGGAGCATACCAACCTTACCTACCAGGCTACCATCGCCCGCATTGACGACGCCGAGCCGTGCGGCCGCACCCTGCACCGCCCCCGGAAGCTCACCGCCGTTTGTGGAAGTGGAACTCAACCCTGAAAGAGGCAAACTGCTTCCGGTCCGTGACACTGCCGGCAACGATGGTGATGCCACCAGACAAATCAAACGGCCCAAAATTTCCGAGGAGGAGTAGGCCTTTGTGGGCCTTCTTGTAAGAGAGACCCATTAGAACTATTTTATATATATATAATATAATGAAAATATATTACATCTCTGGCCTTCTACTCATGGATACACAGCCAACAAATCTATCTATCTATCTATCTATCTATCTATCTATTATATTATTAAAACAGCCTTGAAAGAAGGCACCACGTTCGCTGTGGAGGCTAGAAATTTCCACATTAATCGGAGAAAAAAAAAGAGTCCAAGTAGAAACACAATTTAAAAATAACTGAAATTCGAAATTAAAAAATAAGCAATATTGAAAGAAGAGTCCATATAAGAGCCCAATACGAGATTATTCAAAATTCAGAATAAAATTAAAATAAAATCCAAAATTAGAAAAGAAAAGGAGAGTCCAAATAGGAATACAATTTAGAAATAACTGGAATTCAGAAATAAAAACAAGGAATATTGAGAAAAAAGTCCATATAAGAACCCAATACGAGATTAATTAATATTCGGAATAAAATAAAAATAAAATCCAAAATTAGCAAAGAGAAAAGAAAAGTTCAAGTAGGAATACAATTTAAAATTAACTACAATTTGGAATTAAAAATAAAAAATATTGAAAGAAGAATCCATATAAAAACCCAATACGAGATTAATTAAAATTCAGAATAAAAAATAAAATAATATTCAAAATTAGAAAAACTAAAAGAGAGTTTAAGTAGGAATACAATTTTGAAACAACTAAAATTCAAAAATAAAAAAATAAGAATATTTAAAGAACATTATACGGTATTAATTAATTAAAATTTGAAAAAAAAATAAATTCTAAAATTAGAAAAAGAAAAAAAGATTTCAGTTATGAATACAATTTATAAATAACTAAATTTAGTGACAAAAAACTATTGAAAGAAAATACCATCTAAAACACATGACGAGATAAATTAAGTAACATGTCTACAAAGGAGTAGAGTGTTGGCGGTTGATACGACATATAAAAACTGTTAATAAAACACCAAATAGAATCCTAATGACGATTAAAAGGAGGGACGATGGGCAGGCCATGAAGCAAACAGGCAAGGCGGTTGCCGGGACTTCTAGAAAATAAAAAAAAAATAAACCCCAATGATAATCATATTCGATTTTTAAAATCTTAATGACAATAAAAAGGAGAAGCAGCAGCCGCCGACGGTTGGCGGGACTTCTAGAAAATAAAAAAAAATGAATTCCAACGATAGTTATGTTCGATTTTTAGAATCCTAATGATAATAAAGACTAGGTGGCGGATGGGCCGTAGAGGAGTATAGTGGCATCGTTTGATGGGACTTCTAAAAATTATAAAAAATGAAACCCTACAAGACAGTGAACTATAAAAACTATAAGGTCCAATTTTTAAAGGTTCGAAACTTCTAAAAAGTAAAAAAAAAATCCAATGATAATAATATTCGATTTTAAAATCTTAATGACAATAAAGAAGGGAGACAGCGGGCGAGCCATAAAAGAGTACAATGGTAAAGCCGCTGACGGTTTGGCGGGACTTCTAGAAAGTAAAAAATGAACCCGAATGATAATTATGTTCGATTTTTAAAATTTCAATGACAATAAAGAGAAAAGACAGTGGACGGGCCGTAGAGGAGTATAATGGCGGCGTTTGATGAGACTTTTAGGAATTATAAAAACGAAACCCAATGAGACAATAAACTCTAAAAACTATAAGATCCAATTTTTAAAAGGTTCCAAGGAGAATAAATGATAATAGTAGATCGAGCAAGCAAATAAAAAAGGATATGACATAAGTAAGGGTAGTAACTGGTGTGACTTTTCAAAAACTATTTAATTAGAAATTCGGGGATGAGAAGATTTGTTCTTTCAAAGTCTTAAGACAATAAGATAGCTATTTAAATAATTTTAAGTAAAATCATACGAAAAAATATATGATTTTGTTTGGGTGCTAGTCGCGCAATTACGCGGGCCACCCAGCTAGTTTCAGTAGAAAGAAAGAAAACACATCCAACAAGTTTCAGAAGTTAAAAAAAAAGAATTAAAAAAGATGTGATGGGACAAACCCCCAACTTCCACTAATAAAAGTATCAACTGAAATAACGTTTTCAAAATCACATAGATTCTAGCATAAAATTTCGTAGGTACTACACCATCCAAACTGGAATAAAAGCTCCGTGGCTACCAATTCCAAGAGTGCAACACCAGTACGCATAGCATCATGTTGTTCCTGTGAAAGCATCATACACCAAGAGTGAAGTCGATTGGAACACATAAAGATAACCTACATAATGGTAGATAATTTCTTATGGTTAAAAATTATCGTTACGACAACGTCAGATTGACCAACATAGCGCACTAGTTCCAAATAAAATCATTATTTTGTGGCCCTAGGCACTCCCCTTAGGTTGTGTTCTTTTGAAGGGGTTGGTAACCTCCATACATAAAACGGAGTGATAGATTAACACATGATTAATTAAGTATTAACTATAAAGAACTTGAAAATGTATTAATATGAATTTTTAAAGCAACTTTCATATAGAAAGTTTTTGCAAAAAATTGTATTGTTTAATATTTTGAAAAACGTGCACGTGGAAAATGAGGGATGTGAGTAAGAAACTTACGGGAAAGAACACAACCGTAGCCAATTACCCAAAATATTTTTTGCGTTGCGGGGAGAGGGATATTAAAGGCAAAGGATACATCGCCAAGCAAAACATGCAACATGACAGTAAAAAAAAGATGTTGGAGTAAAAAATAAACAACATTACTTGTTCCCCTCCATTTTCTCTATGTGAGATTATCTTTCGTTAAGATTATTTTTTGTGAAGCAACAACGTAAACACTTTGATTTTTAGTGGTACCTTGTACCTCCCATTGTGGTCCTTTGATAGGCATGCAACCCATCTAAACCTCTACATGCAGAAATCCAAAAATAGCACACTCCTCTTTCCCTTCCCTCACATCGAACGAGTGATCGATGGTGTATCTTATCACTCCTCCCCTCACCTCACCTTACCTGAGAACACCACCCATTGCCGGAGTTGATACCAAACAAGGAATTCATCAATGGCAACGCATACGGTGACGGATCCACTAGAGGAGCTATGGAATCACACAATGTCGATGGACAAGACGCACCTGATGTGCTTCTACCCGAGCAAGATCACCATGGGTGGCGTCTGGACGGGCGACAACCCGCTCGACTTCTCCATACCTCTCCTCCTCTTCCAGATCCTCCTCATCACCTCCACCACCCGCGCCGCCACCCTCCTCCTCTCCCCTCTCCGCCTCCCCACCTACATCTCCCAGATCCTCGCTAGCTTCCTCCTTGGCCCCTCCATCCTTGGCCACCTCCCTCACTTCTCCAACCTCGTCTTCCCTGTCCGTAGCCTCTTCGTCCTTGAGTCCATGGCCCTCCTCGGCCTCGTCTACTACACCTTCATCGTCGGCGTCGAGATCGAGGTCTCCGCCATCACCCGTGCCGGCATCCATAGCTTCGGCTTCGCTGTCGGCTGCGCGCTCCCGCCCTTCCTCGTCGGCGCCCTCACCGGCTACGTCGCGCTCAGCACTGACGACAAACGCAAGGGTGACACTTTCCTGAACAAGCTCTCCTTCCCCATCTTCCTCGGCTCCACCTTCTCCTCCACCGCCTTCTCCGTCCTCGCCCGCAACATCGCCGAGCTCAAGCTCGCCGGCACCGACGTCGGCCAGCTCACGCTCTCCGCATCACTCATCAACGACACCTTCGCCTGGACCGGCCTCACCGTCGCCACGGTGCTCGGCCACTCGCGCTGCACCATCACGCAGACCACGTGGACGCTCACGTCGGGCGTCGTCATCTTCGGCGCCAGCTACCTCCTGCTCCGCCCCATGCTCCTGCGGCTGGCGAGGCGCGCCGCCGAGGGGGAGGCGGTCGGCGAGGACCGCGAGTGCTGGATTCTGATCGGCGTCATGGTTGCGGCGCTGGTGGCGGACGCAGGGGGCACGCACGCCATATTCGGCGCCTTCGTGTTCGGCCTCGCCGTGCCCAACGGGCCGGTCGGGGTGGCGCTGGTGGAGAAGGTGGAGGACTTCGTGGTGGGTGCTCTGCTCCCGCTCTTCTTCGCCCTCAGCGGCCTCCGCACCGACACCGCCAAGATCACCAACATGCATTCTGCCGTGCTGCTCATGGTCGCTGCCATGGTCGCTGCGGTCTTGAAGGTCGCCGCCGCAATCGGCGTCGCCGGTGTGTTTGGCATGCCACTCAGTGACGGCACGTCCATCGGGCTGCTGCTCAACACCAAGGGGATCATCGAGCTCGTCATCCTCAACATTGCAAGGAACAAAGGGGTAATCCATTTTAATTAATCGATCGCCATGCAGTGCATTGCATGTCGTGATTAATTAAGGGTAGGTAGCTTCTTGTGTTGTGTAGATCATGAGTGACCAGTCGTTCACGGTGCTGGTGTTCGTGTCGGCGCTGATCACGGCGATGGTGAGCCCTTTCCTGGGGATGGTGGTGAAGCCGGCGCGGCGCCTCGTGTTCTACAAGCGGCGCACGGTCGCGTGGGCTCACCCGGAATCAGAGCTCCGCGTGCTGGCCTGCGTCCACGTGCCGCGCGACGTGCCCGCGCTACTGACGCTCCTCGATGTGGTGACGCCGTCGAGCCGGTCGCCCGTGGGCGTCCTCGCCCTCCACCTCATCGAGTTCGTCGGCCGCTCCTCGGCGCTCCTCCTCATCAATGCCTCTGCGCCGTCGTCGTCCTCCTACGACGCCTCCGTCCACGGGCGCAGCCACACGGAGATGCAGTTCAAGCACATCTCCCACGCCTTCATGGCGTACGAGGAGCAGTCGGTGGGCGTGTCGGCGCGCACCATGGCCGCCGTCTCGCCGTACGAGTCCATGCACGAGGACATCACCTCCGCCGCGGAGAACCAGCACTCGGCGCTCATCCTGCTCCCGTTCCACAAGTACCGGTCGGTGGACGGCGGCCTGGAGGTGTCCCACCCGGCGATACAGCCGCTCAACTGCAACGTGCAGAGCTTCTCGCCGTGCACGGTGGGCATCCTCGTGGACCGTGGCCTCGCCGCGGTGCCGGGTGGCGGGTACCGCGTGGTGGCGCTCTTCTTCGGCGGGAGCGACGACCGGGAGGTGGCGGCGCTTGCGACGCGCATGGTGAGGAACCCGACCATCGACCTGACATTGCTCCGGTTCGTCCAGAAGGGAGGAAGCTTCACTGCAAGCGAGTTCGACGCGCTGAAAGAGCGGAAGGCCGACGAGGGGTGCCTGCGTGACTTCCTAGAGAGGGCGAACGAGGGCGGCGGCGCGACGGTGGAGTACAGGGAGCGCGGCGTGTTCAACGCGAGCGAGATGGTGGGGGAGATACAGAGCGTGGAGGCCATGGGGAACAAGGACCTGTTCGTCGTCGGGAAGGTGCCCGGGGGGTCCGGGCTGACGGCGGGGATGGCGGAGTGGAGCGAGTCGCCGGAGCTGGGGCCGATCGGCGACCTGCTGGCGTCCAAGGACTTCCAGACGACGGCGTCGGTGCTGGTGCTGCAGGCGTACGGGAGGCCGGTGGCAGTGGTGGGAGCTGGAGCGGGAGCCATGTCGGTGGATTTTGGCGGCGACAGCGTGGCGATGGCGGAGAGGACAGCCAGTGGGCGTAGGCCATGGGCACGACCGGGTGTATGATCATCGATCATCGGAGAATTTTTCTTTCTAGAATTGGTGACCGTTGAGATAGATGTAGGAATAGCTGATAATATGGTGTGGATAATTGCATATTATGGTATAAAATTTATACATAGTGCAAAGCTTAAACATAGTTCTTGGAAAAATAAAGCTAAATAACCATATACTAGCATGTTGTTAATCAAGCAGTCATCACTGCGGTGCAACATTTTGTTATTTAGAGGGCCTGAGGATGAGAACAACGCAGGGAGGTTTGGAAATATCAGAAGAAACTCAGGATCAGTTTCACTTTCAAAAATATTTGTAAAGTACTACAGTAGTACGAAAATGACATTTCACGTGTATAATGGTATGCACAGCATATCGTAGGCCTACTAATTTCAGGCCCAATAAAATTGGAGTTCAAAACAAAAAGGAACAGTGGCAGATATGGGTCCAGATACGCACTGGGCTTAACTCAAATTCTTCAGAATAAGTTTACTTTTACTCCCTTCACTAATGGCTGAATCTGTTTCGCATATACCGGGCCCCCAACTATTAAAACCGGTGCATTTTATCTCCCTTGGTGGTTTTAGAGAGCGGTTTCGCTGACGTGGCACCTACTTGACGGTATTGACCGGGTCTTCATTCCACGTGGCGTTGATGTGACGCTTATGTGGCATTAAAATCAAAAAAGAATGTGCATGACTTATTTGCCATTCACAAAAATAATATTGTGGTACCCACTGACATGTAGGGCCCACATGTCATCTTCTCTCATTCCCTTCTTCCTCCTCCCCCTCTCTCTTATCTCTCTCTCCCCCGGCCTTTCTCTTCACCTGGCCAGAGCGGCGGTGGGGATGGCGGTGAGTTGTGGCGGCAATGGTGGTGGGGACGGCAGCCGCCGCGGGTGGGGGAAGAGAGAGCTTGCCTCTGCGGCCGCCACACGGACGACGTGGGCAGAGTCGTGGCTGCGACATGCCTTGAGGGGGGAGCACACGGGGATGGAGCGGAGGTAGAGCGAGTGTCCACTCGAGCGAGCGGCGCCATGCACGCAGCTGAGGGGGAGGAGGCGGCGGTGGCAATGGTGGTGGGGACGGCAGCCGCCGCGGGTGGGGGAAGAGAGAGCTTGCCTCTGCGGCCGCCACACGGACGACGTGGGCAGAGTCGTGGCTGCGACATGCCTTGAGGGGGGAGCACACGGGGATGGAGCGGAGGTAGAGCGAGTGTCCACTCGAGCGAGCGGCGCCGTGCACGCAGCTGAGGGGGAGGAGGCGGCGGTGTAGCGGCGCGAGGGCATAGGGGGAGCACGCAGCCAGCCTGCACACCATGGCGGCGACAACCGCTGATCCAGCTGTAGAAGAAGGGCGGTGGGAGGCGCGGCTCCACCCAATGCGGACGTGGCGCGCGGTAGGAGATGCGGGCGGTGACACTGAGGAGGACGTTGTCAGGGAGGTCCCCCCACCTTACCCAATCCATGGCGGCCACCATCGGATGCCGCCGTCTTCGCTCCCTGCCACACCCGCTCTCCGCTTGCCCCCGCCGCCCTTCCTCTATCCCCGACATGCTGCTCCCCCCAACCGGTGGCAACCACCCAAAGCTCCCCACTGCCGTCCCCACCATCGGATGCCGCTCCTGAGGTTTCGAAAGCATAACTGGTAAAAACAGTTGTTTGGCCACCCACGGAAAATAAAAATATAAACTTGAAAAGGAGTTTCGAAATAAGCTAACAATCAGACAATGAGAGGAGCATGCATCTCAAGAATATCATCTCTAAGTACTAGAGCGACACGTTTGTCTTTTTGAAGGAAAATCTGAGAGGTCGTATATATTCATTCCAGGTCGGTCGGTCCACTAATCAGACCAGCATCATCACCAGCTTGTACTTTGCTATACATGCGAATGAAAGGAACCAGTCAGGTGTGGCAACCTTTATATTCGTGACTGGATATCATGAGATATGATGCTTCATCGATCGATCGACGGCAGGTTCCAGATCGAAAAGAAGAAGCAGCAAATGCATGTGTTCCTTTTTTTTAAAAAAAAATCGATTTTATGGGGGGTATAAATTACCGGTACCCAAAAAATATCACAACAAATTTCTGAACCTTATATAGCAGGTGGCTTACAAGGTTAATTATATGGTTAGCTTAATTGCATGGGTTGGTACATATATATTTCTTGCTGGACTCTATGCCCAGAGCTTAATCTAATGGTTACGATTAATTAATATACACACGCATATATAGACTTATTAAGAACATTTTACTATGCATTATATATTTTTTAAATAGACGGGTTGTATACAAGCCTCTCATAGTAGCTAGTGCTAATTAACTAGTTGGTATGTACTGCGAAATAGCTTGGTTGGATACCAAATTTAGTCCTACGAATCATTTGATAACTTTAATATAGCACGGTACATATTTGGATTAAGGTCAACCTTTGCCCCAAGTCAATAATAATTTTAGTAGTGCCATAACATATCTAAGATTTTGCACTACTAAAATTTTACGAGGGCACTAACCCAAACAGGCACTAACATTATTTACAATGACATGGAGGATACATATATGTATAGCTATTGCTAGCTACTAACAATTAGTACTAGTAATTCCTAAATATTATAATATTTATACATTGGAAAGGTAGTTGTCCTAAAAGTCATATTTAAGACTAATTAATTGTCCAATCCCCAACTGATCAATTAATCTATGATGCACAAGAGTAGCTACTAGCTAGCTAGATCGTTCTTGGCAGGAAGAGTTTACATGGGTGGAGACATGAAGCACGCAGTGTCACATGGTGGCAGGCAGGTACAAGTACTATGGTACACAGAGCGCAAGACGATCGATATTATTCCAAAGGGCAAAGCAAGTATACAAGGGGAAAGCTGCAGAGGAGAGCTCATACCAAGGTGGTGTGGACTAGCAACGGACAAGGGGAACACGATGCATGTACGCCAAGCGTCGCTGGCATGCGACTCACATCAGATCAGTGGATCGAGAATTAACTACCCATCTACTGCTGCCTGCCTGCCTAACCAGCAACAACATAACCCTCTCGTGACCATCTCATATACAGTAAATCCATTAACATACACACAGGCATATGCGTTCATGGTTAAACATGGTATATATAAGAAACCACATGTATTTAATTTGTAATGTTTAATACTTAATTAATACTGTGTTGTGTGCCAATACCCCCGAGCAATTGGTGCAAGCACGCTCTAAATTCTAGCCCTCTTGTAGCGGCGTCCTAGTTTCTACAAGTTGGCCACGTCGGAGTGTCTAGGGGAGAGGTGTTTCATCTTCTCTCTCACCTTCTCTCCCTAAATCGTGAAGTCTTGGATAGAGTTGGGTTTTGTGTTGATTGTATAGGTCGGGTTTTGGGTGATCTCGGCAGTGTTCTGTTGTTGGTCTAGCGGCGGTCGATCACGCTTAGCAGCGGCCGGTCCGGTGCTAGCCTTCTCCTGGATCTGTGTGTTGACGCTGTCGCTGTGTGGGTGGTGGTATAATTTTTTTTCCTGGTTATGACCTTATAAAGGATTGTAATCTTGTAATTTTTTCCTGCTCTATCAATAAAACTTCGCACCGTTTAGTGCGAGTCGTTCAAAAGAAAAAGTCATTGAAGTATAATCTCGGTTACTATTTTATACTATTGAGAATAAGTTTACAAAACCTAATAAGTTTATTATGAGATCTCAAACGTACTTAAGATCGGATGAATTGTATATTTAATTGTTTATACAAGAACAACAAATACAATTAATAATATATGGGCACCATATCGATCTAGCTTGGCTATCCTGGGTAGTCGATATGTGTCATAAGGGCAAGCACGTGGCACCACTCACCCTTTTTAGCCGACTGTGCAGTTTAGGTGTGATTATAAGTTACTCCCTCCGTTTCTAAATATTTAATACCGTTGATTTTTTTAGCACATATTTAACCGTTCGTCTTATTTAAAAACTTTGGTGAAATATGTAAAACTATATGTATATATAAAAGTATATTTAATAATGAATCAAATGATAGAAAAATAATTAATAATTACTTAAATTTTTTTGAATAAGATGAACGGTTAAACATATTTAAAAAAATCAACAACGTCAAATATTTAGAAACGGAGGGAGTATAAATATCTATTTTCGTAGCAGCGAGATTACTAGTTCCAGTATTTCACTAAGTGGAGATAGATAATATTTTTTAAGAACAGAAGAGGTAGGGATGGGTCGAAATAAATAGGGGCATTTGAAAATTTATAATTGGTATTTTTAATTTTGTAACAATTTAACTCGAATGGATGACAATTCTAGCGGTATTTTTTAATTTTCTATGATATTTTCGTAATAACGATTTAAACGAGTGGTAAATTTATAATTGTCCAAAATAAATAATAAAGTGATCATGATGGTGCCAATGATCAATCTCGAGTCAGGCCAGGGCTAGGACGACTGGAGGATGTAAGCTATAGGGTTGAGGTGACGCTCTGTTGGGGCGTGAATGACCGATACACCTGTAGTATGTATATATGCGTGCGTGTGTCACAGCTTGCACAGTAGCAGTGTCGCGCGACTGCCACTGCACGCTCTGGATGGACTTGGTTCTGACCGGCCGGTTGATCGATTGGGTGCATATTTACTATGCATTGGTCATTGCACGATGGCCAGTCTACAGTACGATAACTGATCGATGTAAGAAGCCAGGCACACGCATGCACGTCTGTGTGTTACTACTGTACAAGTGTAGATGGCTATGTCAAAGAATATTGCCACGTCCATATATAAGCCTAGCTACGTACCTAGCTATATGCACGCCTACCTAATTCGTTATAATTGTGTAGTAATTCCACATTTATTTATCCTGTGAACTATGTAATAATTGATTATATTTTTTTAAGTAAATGTCAAATAATTGATTTTCATTTTCCAAAAAGAAAAATATGGATTATGACTATGAACTCCAACATGCCTATCCACCACTACCTGCATGTGTTTCGACAGTCAGGATTTATGCACGCCTGCCGGAACAGGATTTATGCACTACGTACACAGTAGAGTGACTCATGAGCTGTTAATTTGCTCCAATTAACAAGCAAATTGCTAGCAAAATTAGCTAAATTCGTGCCGAAGAGTTGTGTTGTACTTAATTGTTACTGGTGT